TATGTGCACTCTATCCTTACACTTTGAAGAATTTTGATCAGGAAGGGATGCTGTACTTTGTCAAATGCTTTTTCAGCATCTATTTAGAGTATCATATGGTTCTTGTTCATACTTAATTTTTCAAGATATGTTTTAGCAAATAGTTATCTAATTCTTGAAGATGGTAGGGGAAAGCCAATCCATATAATAAAGATATTCAGTAATTACACAGAAGTATTACCAATCATTTGTATTATTTGCTTATTGCTCTCTTTCAGTCACTACACTTTAATAAAAACTTGGAGATTTTTTAAAAAGATTTTATTTACTTATCTGACAAAAAGAGAGAGCACAAGCAGGGGGAGCTGCAGAGGGAGAGGGAGAAGCAGACTCCCCACTGAGTGCGAGCCTGATTGGGGGGGCTCGAACCAAGGACCCTGGGATCATGATCTGAGCCAAGGGCAGATGCTTAACCAACTGAGCCACCCAGGTGCCCCCAGGCTTGGGATTTAATTATGTTTTTCCTCACTAGCTTTATTTCTCTCTTTCTGCCCCAGGGCTCTAATGTGATACATTTGGTAGTCGGAGCTGCTGTTTACCTCTTTTTCACCTAAAGTCTTCCATTAATGTTGATCCAGAGTACTCATAATTTATCTTCTGAGATGCTTCCTGAATACCCTCTTTTCCCTTACCCACCCACTCAAACTTCCTCTATACCTTCAGTATCTCACTTACTCACGTGATCAGTTGTAACCTCTTAAAGAAAAATATTTTATTCATCGTATCCCAGTGCCTAGCACAAATGTCCTAGTATCATTTGAGTTAAAACTTAAGAGATTCCAGGTTCTAGAAGCAGGAGTCTGGATTATGCCACCATGTTGCTGAGCAGATATTTGAAGAGCTAATATTTGACTTTAGTAGTGAATGTATAGGATTACACTAGTCATAGTACTGGTGTTTGAGGTTTTTTTCCAAGGGTCAAAATGTTGAGTTTGGAAAATATCTGAAACACAAATCTTACATATTTTTTCCTAATATAATTCATTCAGGGAATCATATCATCTTTAATATTTAGTATATTTGTACTTATAGAAGGAATGAGAAAAGGAGGCAAAGGTGACTTTTACCTAATATCATTGAAAGCATTTTTTGTTCTTGCAATTGGCATTATAACACTCTTCCATATTTTATTATCCTTTTTAGTCTTTTCCAAAACTCTTCCATTAGATTACTTTGCAGATAAAGTTCATAGTATCGTGTTTTCATTTTGGCTTCATTTCATCCAATTACTTTCTGTGCTTTTGATTGAAATTTGATTGAAATATATATATGCAAATATGCATATATATATGCATTTTCTTTTTCTGTTTTTTATATATATATAAATATATATATAAAATATATATATTTATATATATCTTTTTCTGTTTTTTATATATATACAGACATTTTCTTTTTCTATGTTTTTTTC